TCTGAAGAGATTTGTGATGCAGGCTGATTTCTGTCTAGACAGAGAAAGGAGTGTAAAACACATTAGGCAGATAAAACATCACAGTGACAAGAAAAACCTGCTTCACAGTCTCTCAGCTGTGTGAATTTATAGTGATCTCTGCACCTATTTCATTATTATTGACCTATAAACATCTAGGGCTCACCAAATTTGCATTCTAAGGTTTCTAGTGACAGCTGGACACTAGCCATACAATACTGCATAGACATATATAGCATCAAAATATTTTTAAAAAAATTGTCAAAACTGCATCTACCTCACATACTAGCAGAGGTTTTCATAATTTGTCCGCTTCCTCACACTTTACTTATCTCATTGTCTTCATTCAGCCACAGTTGACATTTGTTTGTTTATGGGCCATTTCTTTAACAGGTATTGTTTTATCTACTATGCTATCTCGCTGAACCTCTGCCTTTGAAATGTACAAGAGCTGCCTGTGGCTCTTGTACATTTCAAAGGAAGAGGCACAGATGGGACCTGTGCCTCTGGCTCCCCTGCAGAGACAGTGCTAGGGTGAAACTGGCTTTTAAGCCAGCTCCCCCCAGCACTGGCTCTTGCTCTTTCCCCTTTCCCCCTTGGTGCCTCTCATACAGAGGCAGCACAGGGGCGGGGGGAAGCAACTAGATGAGTTGTGACTCGACTACCCGATAAGCCTGTGCTTATCGGGTAGTTGACTAGTCACATACATCCCTACTCAGGATAAGGGCAGTGCGCAGAGACACGGACCTCCTCCTCCCCCGGACTACAGGAACATGCAATGCTACCAGCCACATCTTGAAGTGGCACAGAGCAGGTGGACAGGAAGCTGTCTTTGTGCTGCTGGTGGGAGTGATGGCAGCTGGGGGATCCCAGGCTCTTTAAAAAAAAAAAATCACCCAAGGGTGGCAGGCAGGGTCGGGAGACACTTTGGGGGAGGTGCACGGAGGTGGCAAGCGGGGCCAGAGGACTGTTCTGGCTTGTAACATTCCTGGAGCCTAGGCACCAGAGGCCCATACATCTCCATCACACCTGGCTTTATCTGGTTTCCTAGAATCAGTGTTACAACACATTGCAACAAGATGTAGCAGCTATTTTTCTAGAATCAATTCAACTGCTCACTGTAAAAAATGCTGTAAGGGTCCTAATGCCATTCTATACGTTTTATCAGTTCTGAAATTCAGCTCCTCACACAACAGATGAAGTTAAAGTTCTTCCTGTTTGGGCAGATTCCATTAATATATGTCATATTAACTATACACACACAGATCCTCTGATCCTGCACTGCTGAGACTAGGGGAAGCTTTATCATTAGCTTTATTGGGTGCAGAATTAGACCCACTATGTGAAATATCTTCGGAACTAGCAGAAGCCAGAAAAAGCTAATTCAACAATTGTACTTGCACACAATCTCACATGAACAGCAATGATGGTGTAATAGAATACACAGAGCTGGAGGAGAGACAGTCTCCTGAGTCACAG